CCCCCCCAGACCCACCTTGCATCCTACTGGGGATACAGGCATGAACAGCCATTGTCCTTATCCACTGTGCCACCGCCCTCAGCCCAGACTCGCTCACTCTCTCTCTGTGTCTAAGCATTTAGCTCGGCATGGTGGCACATGCCTTTAATTCCAGTACTTGTGAGGCAGAAGCAGGCAAATCTCTGTGAACCCAAGGTCAGCCTGGTCTATCAGAGTTCCAGGACAGCCAGGGCTACGTAGTGAGACCCTGTCTTCCCTCCCTTCTTCCTGAAAAGCACTTCATACCCTTTCCAATACAGGCTCTACCAGTAAGAACGGTAACCGTGTGAAGCAGGACAGGCTGGCACCTGCTTCCTGGTCAGGAACTGCATTTCTCTCCCATGACTATGGCCACAGATGTGTCCTCTGGTGAATGTCAGCTCCACTGTTCTATTGGCTTCAGGGGGCCCTGGGGCTCAGAGTTGGGTGCCCTGCCCTTTCTGCCTCGATGACAGCTCTGAGCATTTTGCTGTCACTGTTGCGCTTTTAAAGATGAAGGCGTGGCTGTGGCTCAGTTGACAAAATGCTGGCCTAGCTGGCATGAAGGATCAGAAATTCAAATTCAAGGTCATTATCCCTGGCTACATAGTGAGTTTAAACCAGCCTGGAATATATAGGACCTTGTTTAAAAAAAAAGGAAAGAAAGAAAAAAGATTAACCATTACAACAACACAAATAAAGAAAACAAGCATTGTAATATAGAGAAAAAGTTGTGAAAGATTTCTTCGTTGCTTTTTGTTTTTGGTTTTTCAAGACAGGGTTTCTCTGTGTAGCCTTGGCTGTCCTGGACTGTAAACCAGGCTTGCCTCAAACTCACAGAGATCCACCTGCCTCTCCCTCCGGAGTGCTGGAGGCAGCACCACCACCCCCGCCCAGCTTCTTCCTGTTCCTTTTTTAAATGTACATGCATGTGTGTGTGACTATGTGAGTCCATGCCACATGTGTGTGGGTGCCCAGAGGCTAGAAGACACAGTCAGATCCTTTGGAGCTGGAGTTACAGCTGGCTGTGAGCCCCCTGAGGTGGGTGCTAGGTGGGTCCTCTGCAAGAACAGCGAGAGCTCTTTAACTGCTGAGCCATCTTTCCAGCCCCTCCAGTGTCATTTTAAACCAATCCCTGAAAGCTTCGTGTAAAGACCAAGATTTAAGTCCTAAATGAGCACCACTGGGGGTCACTTTTCCCTGCTACCTTCAAATGGCAAACAGTTGGATACGCTGACTACGATAATAGACTAACTAGATGTTGTTAATCCTGCTTTGCTTTGAATTGCTTTCCAAGAGGAAGTATCTCCAGGCACCCATCAAGAACACTTCCCGGTGCAGTGTGATCAACAGTGACCGGAAACCTTTAACCTGGACATACTGCTGTAGCATAACCCACGGGCTATATTGAGAAAAGCTAACGCTCATTCAGCAGCCGTGTAACTAATGTCCTTCTTTATCCTTAAAGAGCTTTACAGAACTCGCATACAATACCCATTTCAAGTGGGTTTTAATAGATTCACTAAAAACACACACGGAAGGTCTAGGTGTTGGTGATCATGTTGGGACAGTTATTATAGTATGAGTGTGTGTGTGTGTGTGTGTTTAACACGATCATGCAACCATGACTACAGTCTAACTTTAGTACGCTTTCATCCCACCAGAAAGATATTTGTACCCATCAGCAGTTACGCTTAGTTTATCCCCCTACCTACTCTACCTTCCCAGCTCTAGGTAACAGCTAATCTGCTTTGCTTTTATTTATTTATTTAGAGACAGGGTCTTACTACATTGCTTTGGTTGTCCTAGAACTTGCAGAGATCCACCTGCCTCTGCCTCCCGAGCACTGGGATTGAAGCCGTGCAAACACTGCTGCTGGCTCTATTCTACAGATTCACCTGTTCTTGAAATTTCATATAAATGAAACAATATATTTGTGGTTTTCCGTGACCAGTTTCTTGTACTGAGAGATGCTTCCAGGGGCCATCTGTGTTATAGCATACATCATTATTTCATTCCTTTTAGTGGCTGAAGAAATTTCCTGTTAGACGAATATACATTTGGTTTTTCTCAGCCATTAGCCAACAAACATTTGAACTCTTTCCACTCTGACTTTTGGGGGTTTTGTTTTCTGAGCATTGATTTACAAAATGTATACAAGCAACTGTTGTCTTCTTGGTGCCACGTCCAGTGGCTCATGAAGGCCTTTACTAAGAATTTGAAAAGAATCTCTGGTTTTGTCTTTAAGACCCATGCCATTGTCAACTCCGTTCCCTCGGATCTTACACTGGACAAGGGACCCCTTTCCCAGGCCCTCCTGGAAAAGGCTGGGTTAGAGCTCCAAGAGGAGTTGAACAACGTAGGACCAGGAGTCTCTGTCGACGTGGGCACGATTCTTCGAACCAGTGGCTGTAATCTGGACTGCCACCACGTGTTTCATGTGGTGGCTCCACCATGGAAAAGCAGCAACACTGCGTGGTCACTAAAGGTAGGGCCCAACTTCACAATTTCTGGGAAGCGGGTTAGCTCTCTGGACTCTTCCTTCAGCACAGCGCAGTTAGTCCCTGCGATGTTCTGTTAGCAATATCATGATTGGCAGGCCCCGTGCCATGGCCATTTCTTTGCAGTCACAGATGACTTCTTGTAGATCATAGTTAGTAACGTATGTTGGCTGTTGTGCTCAGCAGTTGAGAGTTCAGGAAGAGTTAGGGGGAGGAGGCTACTTTAGTGAGATAAGTAAGGTGAGGGCTTGGAGCTGGGAGCCAGTGACAGATGGGGACAGCTGTCGCTTCCCCTCTTGGCTTCATGGCTGTCTCCCATTCCTTTTCCCATTTCTTCTCCTGACTCTCCTTCTCCAGACTACTGTTAACTCTTGTTGAGAGTGGAGTGCCCCCAGTAAAAGCTGCTGAGGGCTTCCTTTTTTAGTCTCTCCCTTTCTAAAGAGGATGTTTAAGGAGTGCTTTGTGTTTTTCAGCTCATGAAAAATATCATCCGTGAATGTCTGAGGCTCACCCAGGCGCTGTCTCTACAGTCGGTCGCATTCCCCGCAATAGGAACGGGAAATTTGGGCTTTCCTAAACCTGAGTTTGCCAAATTAATCATTTCAGAAGTGCTCAAATTCAGTAGCAAGAACCAACTGAAAACTTTACAAGAAGTTCAGTTTCTGCTGCACCCGAAAGACCAGGAAAACATCCAGGTGAGGACTCGGCCTCTGATGACTCTGGCAATGGCAGTTTGGGATCTGTGTTCTTCCGAATCTTCTCAGTCTAATAGGATGTTTATTTCATGTATTTTCATTATGGGAGCGTGTAGGAATAGCATTGACTGGTTGTATGTAGCATGACAGATCCAAAGGAAAATTAGATACAGAAAAAGCACTTCTCATCCGGGAAAGTTTCAAAGCCACACAGAAGTACATAAACCAGGCTAATGAAGTTCTCTGATTCTCTTGCTCAGCTTCAGCTGCGACTGCTCTGTGGCCAGGTGTCTGGTCTTTCCCCCTACTTATTTCTCATCTTCTCATGTGACATTGAAGCAAATTCCAGACTCTTGCTTCTTTCTCTAAACAATTCAGTGTGTTTTGAACAGCATCTGGTTCCTTTGATTTGATCAGTTCCGGAGTTGATGAGTGAGTTTACAGCTGTCTCACGAATATCTCCCCATCTTTACATCTTTATGTCTGAATCAGAGTCTGATAAGGAAGGCTCACATGTTGTAATGCTCATTGTGACATTTTCAACCTGTAGGGTGGCCTCTCACATGGGCATAAGGTGCAAATACATAAACTAAAGGCACAGTTGTGGCATTATCAATCTGAAAATTCTGGGATGGGCCGCCGATGATTCTGGCTCCCATTTCTGGAAACGTGCAGTGAAGGGTGTGGCTAGAACACATCCCATATCTGCACGTGAGTAGAATGCTTAGGCCAGAAATACGAGAGCTGTCATCCGTCACTGTATCAGTCAGCCCATGTTTCACCAAACAGCAGCCATGGCGACCTCTGCCCTCCAAGTTTTTATATAGAGTACCTGACCTTAATGTTCGGAAAGTCCCTCCATGTCACATTCAAAGTTGCTTATAGGCACCTGTTGGAACATTGAGCTGTTGGAACTTTTAGGTCACGTTTTATCATTATCTGTATTTAGATACTACTTACAAATTCATAGGAAGCAAGCACATGGAACCGATTCTAATCGCGCAGCCAGACCTCCTTTGGCTTGGTTTGTACAAACACAGTGTGTTTTGTTTGTTTGTTTAGGCTTTGTTTTTTTAGACAGGATCTTGCTCTGTAGCCCAGACTGTTCATATGCCTGGCAATCCTCCTGCATCAGCCTCCATAATGCTAGGATTACAGGCATGCAACTGTAATCTTACCTGCCCAGCTGGCAAGAGTTTTTAATGACTTCCCTCTGGCATGCACTGTGACGTGGACATTGACCACATGTGCAGCACACACTTTCCCTTCTAGAAATCATGATGACTTTGGAAGTTTAGATTTACATACACAGAGCCAAGATGTTTGTATGCTATTTATGTAGATCGGGTAGGTGCATCTATGTGGATAGGGCTGAGTCTTGGCACATAGACTCGAGCCTCCCAGTCTTTATTTGGGAAACTCTGGTCTCTCTCCCTCTCTTCCTCTTCCTCTCCTTCCCTTTCTCCCTCCCTCCCTTCTTCTCTCCCTCTCTCTCTCTTGTTTTTTTTTTTTTTTTTTCACTACATTCTGTAGACCAGGCTGGCCTCGAACTCACAGAAGAGTCTCCTGTCTTTGCCCCCGGTGCTAGGATTAAAGGCGTGCACTACCACCGCCTGGCTAGTATCATTTTCTTTAATACATAGAACTATTATGCAAATCTTCTTTGAAAAGGATTGGTCTCCGCCGACACCTTTAATGCATTTAAATGCTATTATTCTCCCACCAAACATGGTAAACTTTCAAGATTTAAAGACATGGAAGCTTGAATTGCATTTATGAAAAGAACTGTTTGTTAGTGGAGACTGGAACAGCGATTGCAAAGCAGGAGTGAGGTCTGACCATGGCTTCCAGGTGTGCTCTATCTGAGCTGCTTGGTTAGTGGCGGAATGCATAGCACACAATACAGGAAGTGTTTAGTCAGCCTTAACCCAGGCCCTTCTGCTACAAGTCTGGTTTTCAGATGAACTTATGTAAATACACAATTTAATATCATTCCCACTTCAAAGTATAAGCGTGTCTACATCCCATTAAATATTCTCTGGAAATATGTTGGCTACTGTTTCAACACACGGGCATGGGAAAGGGCAGCGAACTACCCCTCCATTGGCTTTTCGCTGTCTTGTTTCTGTCATGACTAGCCCTCTAGCCAGCACCCCTGTCGTTCCATCTTGTTCAGGTCTTTATTTTTATAGGACAGGTTTGTAGAAAAGGAGTTTTTGTGTGTGGGTGTATGTACATATACATATATATGACTTCAGTTGTGTCAATATCCGTGTGTATAACACTAAAATCTGCAAGTAAATTGAATAATACTGTTTGAGAGTTATTACTTTCCAATTACGTATGCGTGCACACAGACTCAGCAGTCCCCATGAAGCAAACGTGTCCATCAAGTAGGGAGTATAACGGCCAAAACTGTGTTTGCATTTCCAGGCATTTTCAGATGAATTTGACAGAAGGACTAACGGGAGCCCTAGTGACCAAAGTCCCAAGGCTGAAACTACACAAGGTTCAGTAAAGCTTTTAAGTTGACCAGTGATGCCTTTTTACTGAGTAACTGTTCAATGACAGGTAAAGGATGATGGTGATAGTTTTTCCTGATAAGTCAAACTGGGAAACATATTAAATTCTATTCCATACATGTGAGTATAAAAGACAGTTGCCCATTCATGGGACTTGGGGCAAGAAGGAAGGCAGGCTGAATTATATAACCTGAACCATGGGGTTTTTAAATTACAAATGAGACTTCCAATGGATAACGTGTCATGTATTTTCCCAGAGATACATTAAGAGACAGTGTAAACTGATAATTCTCTGTCAAATTTGGGTTGCTGTTTCTGAGGTTATCTTGTTTGGGGTTCACTGAAGCTATGTTTCAAAGTGAGGTTTTGCTCTGTTGCCCAGGATGGCCCCACACTCTTGAGCTTAGGAGCTCCTTCCCTCCTGGGCCAGGGCCATAGTAAAAGACAGTTAATACAGAGATAGGGCGGCCTGCAACCTGAGTCACTCTTGCTTTTGCTCGTGACTAACTTATCTCCTTTCTTTCGTGTTTTGTTTTTTTCCTGGGCAGGTGTCTATGGAAGTCTTTCTAGCCCTACTTTAGGAATGCATGAAATGCATATTGGCCCGATCCTCTTCCAAGTGGCCACTGGGGACATCACGAAAGAAGTGGCAGACGTGATCGTCAATTCAACATCACTCACATTCAATCTCAAAGCAGGTACTGAGGCAGACTCAGTCCCCTGTAGTAATCAGTATGGCAGATCCTGAAAAGCAGTGTTTCTATGGCCAAATGGGGTTCTTGGCTTTGGCTTGCTCATGTTAATTAGTGCCTGTAAGCTATTTTAATGAGCTTTCTTTTCTTTTTTTTTTTCTTTAGTTTGTTTTGATTTTTCAAAACAGAGTTTCTTTGAGTAGCCGTGGCTGCCTGGCCCTTGCTCTGTAGGTCATTGAGATCTGCCTGCCTCTGCTTCCCAAGTGCTGGGATTAAATTCTTTGTCAGTAACGCCCGGCTGTGGGACTGCTCTATGTTGAGCATGTTGAGATCAAAGACTGTCTTTCTGCTCGGGTTACCATCTTGGTTTTCTCATGTAGGGGTCTCCAAGGCAATTTTGGAAGGTGCAGGACAAAATGTGGAGCAAGAATGTTCTCTCTTGGGTAAGGAACAATGCTACCTCTTGGTGCCAGACTGTAAGTGGGAGATTGAATATAAGCAGCTGTGAGGAAACAGAGGAAGGTTTTCTTGGGTGAGGAAGACAATCTATTAATCTTAAGATCATATATTTCATTAGAGAATTCCATATGAAAGAAAATTAAATGGAAACTTACCTCACAGTCAAGAGAAATTATGCCACAGAATTTTACTAACCATAGTATCTCAAGAGCTTTTAATTCATAAAATGTTCCCTCACGAAATCAGACACCTCGCTTTCTCGAAGAGTAGGATCGGCACCTGATTCTGAATCTGTTCGTGTTTCACAGCTCAGCAGGGCACCAGTGAGTATATAGTCACTGCAGGAGGATCATTGAGATGCAAGAATATTATCCATGTTGTTGGTGGGAATGACGTCAAAAGATCAGTTTCCTGTGTTTTGGAAGAATGTGAACAACGAAATTACTCCTCCATTTGCCTACCAGCTATTGGCACAGGTTTGTAGCTACAGGCTGTTAAGGCTCAATCCCAATGTGTTCATTATCCCATGGACTTGGTCCTCATAGTGTCTGGATGATGACAGTGACACCTCACCTAGGCATAGACAGTTCCCTTTCTGCTAGGGAATGAGCAAAGCCTGTGGGTACGTCAAGCAGGAGGAGGAAAATGAGCAGGGTACATTTATGTGCACGGTCCCAACTACTGGAAGGTCTGAGGCAGGAGGAATCATTTGTGTCCCCACAATTGTCGCAATAGTGGTTCTCAACCTTCCTTACGATGTGACCCTTTAACACAGTTCCTCATGTTGTGGTGGCCCCCAGTCATAAACTTACTTTTGTTGTTCCGTCATAACTGTAATTTTGCTACTGCTATGACTTGTAATGTAAGTGTCTATGTTTTCTGATGGTCTTAGGTGACCCCTGTGAAAGTGCCTTTTGACCCTCAAATAGGTTGCAACCCACAGGTCTACGCTCAGTCAAAGGCATTGCCTATTGTTTTTTTGCCACAGTGATGGGTGTCATTAACAGGGATAATAAAAATCAGCTTGCCCAGGGGACTGTTAGATTGCCTGTCATGTGACTCTGCCATTCTCTGTTCAATCTGGGCCACACCCATGATTAGAAAGGGACATTTCACAATTTTACCTAGCTAACGGCTTTCAGGGCTTGAGAAACAAGGTCTGGAACATACTGAAGACAGGAGTGGGTCTACTCAGTGGCTGCTTTGAATCCTGCTGGACAGCTAAAATCATACTGAGCATGAGGAAGAAGCATGCTGTAGGCTCACGATAACGAACACATCCAGGATTATAGATTGTAACAAGTAGCTTACAGTTTTGGGCACATTAGAAAGATTAGTTCCCCAGACAGAGCTGGGCAAATGCAGACACATGGATGAAGTCACCCAGGGGAAGAGGTAAATTGCCTCTGGGAGGATCCTGTTGTTTCAAGATGTAGCTTTTTAATTTTTATTTATTTAGTTTTTATGATCTTGTTGTCTTGTTTTTCCAGACAGGGTTTCTCTGTTCTCTGTGTATTCCTGGCTGTCCTGGACTCAGTTTGTAGACCAAGCTGGCCTCTAACTCACAGAGATCCGCCTGCCTCTACCTCCCTGAGTGCTGGGATTACAGCTGGACCCCAGGACATTAGTAAATCAAGGGGCGGGGTGTGCGTGTGTGTGTGTGTGTGTGTCACCTGGACTGTGTAATAGGAGGAAAACGACACTGAGAGCCAGGATCAGCTGAAAAGGACAGATGGGAATGTCACAAGCTACAAGTTGGATCTCGGGGGCTTTTGCTGGGGTGTTGACCTGTCGGCAGCATGAAAGAAAAACTCCTCCCCACTGTATCTAGGACATCAAAACTATTTGCTGATGTAATGTTAGAAATGTCTACCTTGATTACAATGGGGAACAGGCAGTTTTATTTCCTGTGACAACTAGACTTCCCTGTTTATGCTGCAGCCTTCTGCAGGTGGAGCTTAACCTTGTCTTTTTTCATGTGGTTTTTCTGAAGGAAGCGCTCAACAGGACCCAAATGTAGTTGCTGATGCCATAATGGATGCCATTGAAGAATTTGTCCAGAAAAAATCAGTGCAAGCTGTGAGGAAAGTCAAAGTTGTTATCTTTCAGCCCCATATTTTGGATATTTTTTATGACAATATGAAAGAAAGAGAAGGCTCCCCTGGTTCTCCCCAGAAGTCAATGCTGTCTAAGATTGCCTGTGAGTGGTTCACGTTTATGAAATATATATTCCTAACCTTGATGTTGAGGGGAGTAAAAGAAATGTTAATTTCCATTTTCTCTTTAGCCTTTCTCGGCTTTCCAAAGCAAGCTTCCCCCAAACAGAACACCCTGGTTTTGGAGAAGAAAGTAGAACTGACAGTTTTCCAGGTATGTGGTGCAGACGCAGCCAATGTAGAAAGTGCAATCTCCTGGCTACAGGATCTGATTACCAAAGAGCAGTTTTCCTTCACCAATGTCGATGAGTGTGTCAGAGACTTTGACAGTAACGAGTACGAGAAACTGAATGAGATGCAGAAGAGATTGAACATCATCATTGAAATGGACCAGAAGAAACCTTGTATCAGAGTCTCGGGAATTAGCAGAGATGTGGTAAAAGCTAGAGATGAGATTGATGACATGGTCAAGAGCATTCGACTGGCTAAAGAAAAGGAAAACCAGGCAGACTATGTCCTTACTTTCGTGGAATGGAGATATATCGACAATAACATCACATACTGTTTTGACAAAATAGCCAACAAGGAGTTGGAGGACGCATGGAAGGCAAAGCAGAAGAACCTTACTGTTAAAATTCATAATCAGGAATTCATGGTGAACTTGAGCACAAACACAGCCAAGGGCCCTCAGGGGCAGAGTGTCACTGTTCAGCGCCTCATAAAAACTGAAGGTGAGTTAGGTGCTCCTGTGTGTCAACCAGTACTCTAATTTTAACACTGTTTTAGAAACACAGTTTTTATTGTTTTTGAACCAGTGTTTTACTATGTAGTGGTCTGGACCTCTATGTAGACCAGGCTGGCCTCAGACTCACAGAGCTCTGGCCTGCTTCTTCCTCCCAAATGCTGGGATTAAAGGTGTGAGCCATCACACCCTGCCACATTAAATGTTTTTTTTTTTTTGTTTTTTTTTTTTTGCTTGTTTGAGACAGGGTTTCTCTGTGTGGCCCTGGTTGTCCTGGACTCCCTTTGTAGATCAGGCTGTCCTCGAACTCACATAGATCCGCCTGCCTCTGCCTCCTGAGTGCTAGGATTACAAGCATGCATCACCGCGCCCAGCTGCCACATTAAATCTTAAAGTAGGTAAAATTCAAATAATCCTAGTAGAATAGTTTAAAAGCCATGGTCTCTGCATTTCCAGAATATACCCTATAGCCAGGAAAATAAATCATGGATGAACTCGGCTGCCAAGAACAACCATCATAATTGTAACAACAGTAACCTTGCATTTGTGCCCGTCCGTGCAGGTTATAGGCTTTCTGGGGTCAGTTCTTCTGGGGAAATAATGGCTGCCCCAGGCAGAGATAGAAACATGGTTTTAGAAGGAAAGTGGCCTGAGGTTCTCAAGATCACAAAGGCCACAGAGAGGTCAGGCTCATTAGAGTTGGCCCCTGAGTCCATGGTGATGACTAAGGAGAGATACTGATTTTATTCCCAATTCTTCTTCTTTCCTGAGCAAAAGGTTCTTGGGTACCAGTCAAACAGCAGCCTACAGGTTCCCTGGTGGGTCTGATCCCCAACAAGGGCATGTCTGTCTTGTGTAGGTCATTCTGGCCTTCAAACCATATAAGCCCTTGGCTTCTCACAGACAAGATTCATCTTCTGTAGGATCAATGTGAACGAACCACTCAGACTCGGAGCAGCTCTGGAGGAATGACACAGCACAGGTGCTCTTCTGCAGCCTGTCACAGACAAACCCTCCCAACCGCCTACCTAGCTCTTAAGGATGTAGCGAGGCAAATGAGAAAATGCATGTGGATGGCCCTCCATTGTTAGCGAGGTGTTCCGGTAGAAACCCAGGCATGTGCAAAACTGCGGAGGCTGCTGGAAACATGCTACGTAATTAATTTGTTAAGTTAATCAGAATAGAGGCTGAGCAGGAAGTGAAGGCAAGTTAGAGTATGTAGTCGGTTCTCACACCTTGGCGCCAGCAAAACAGAAGGTATAGACGTGAAGCTATAGATACAGGCACAGACATAGCGCCTGTACTCCTAGGAAACCCTACCTCGGTACTTCAGTGGCTTTTCTTCTGGAGGAGGTGCTGGCAAATGAGTCCAGGTCCTGTGTACGTCAGATAAGAGAGCTACCACTGACCCCTTAAATTATCCCCCTCCTTTGAAGAAACTTTCTAGTTCATCTTGATACAAATGGTCTGTGGTCCACACATTTAACAAATATCCTTTTAAAAAGATTTCTTGAATACATGGAATTGTGAGATTGTAACTAACACAAGAGGGAGGCAGGTTTTTTTTTCAAAGTGTACTGGAAATGCACACGGGAGCCCTGTCTACTTTGCAGCTGAAATCCCTGGAAACTGGAGTGACATGAAGCAGAAGACATTGCTTGTGGTCAATCTGCCAACCAGTGACCCTGAATACATTACAGTGGCGAGCCAGTTTAATCAGACCTGCTCAAACTTTGTCATAGAGAAGGTAAGCTGGCTGCTAACAAGGAATTTCCTAGTGGTAGAAATAGCTGATATCACAGTCCTGTATGAGTCCACTCATTTGATGGGCTTATAGAGGTGGCCTAGGGGTCAAGATCTCATACTGTTCTTGCAGAGGACCCTGAGTTCCAAGTTTGGTTTTCAGACTCATGCCAGGTAGCTTACAACAGCCTGAAACTGAGGCACCAGCACTCTGATATGTTTTTCCTTGAGCTCATTGGCAATGTATTTCCATTTTATTTGCTCCTCTTCTAGCCAATGTGGGCACCTGTACACACATGGGCCAAACCCAAATGTACATATTTGAAAATTAAAAATAAGGTCTTAAGAAACACACTCACTTTCACTTTCCATTATATTTTTATTACCCAGAATTAGTTGTGTGTGTGGCTTATTCTCTCCTTTCACCTGTTTATGAGTTCTTTCTGGGGGCTGAGCTCAAGTCACCAGACTTGCAAGAGAAGGCAGCTTTATGTGCTGAGGCGATGACCTTGGCCCTCCTTCAGGTTTTGAAGGACATTTTTGCTGGTTATAGAATTTGGAATTGGCAGTTATTTTCTTTTAGGCATTTTGAAAAAAATGATTCCACTATCTTTGAACTCCAGTGCTTCATTTTCTATCTCTCTTCTCTATGGGATCCTGTCTCATCAAATCCTTGTTTTCACCTCCCCTGCATCTTCTGGCAGTTATTGGTGAGAAAATAAATTTGATTGATATCATGGCCAAGAGGTAATGGCTAATAATACATCTACTAAAAAAAAAAAAAATGTTTAAGATTTATTTTCCTTTCTCCCTTCCTTCTTTCCATGGTGCTGGGAACTGAACCCAGGGTCTCACATATGCTAAGCATTCACCCTACTGCTGAACTATACCATCAGGTCTGAAATAATTTTGTGCTGTTTTTAAGAAACTGCCCCTTTAAAATTTTAAATTAAAAGGGTGGAAATCTCAAAGCAAAAATCTGAAAGTTTGAAAAACTGAGTTAAATGACTAAATTTAAGGTAAGTGAAAATAAAATGGACACAGTTGAAGATGAGAAACAGTTGTAGGGAAACAGTAAAAAGGGGAAATGATGTAAAAATCCTAAATCGTGTGAAAAATTTGAGACTTTGACCTAGAGATCCTGTTTTTTATTTCTCAGTTTTTGATGTTTTTGAGACAGGGTCTAATCATATAGTTCAGGCTAGGCTACAATTCACAATGCAGCTCCAGGCTGGCCTCTAGGTCCTGATCTTCACACATTAATTCCCTATGTTCTGAGATTAGCACTCAGAGTGTACCACCACAGCCAGATCAGGGGGAAAATTATATATAATTTAGTTGGCAAGTTGCTTGTCATTTGAGCATGAGGATCTGACTTCAACCCCCAGACTCGAGGTAAAAATAATTCAGGTATGGTGGTACCTTGTAACCACAGAGCTGTATAGGCAGATTCAAGTGGATCCCTTGGCTCATTGGCCAGACACCTATTAACTTGGTGAGCTCCAGGCCAGAAAGAGGAGCTTGTCTCTGTGTGGGGATAGCAGGGTTTCACACATGTGGAACTGTGTAGAGTCAGTTCTTTCCTTCCAACTTTAGGGATCAAAGTCAGGTCACCATATACTTGCTGAGCTGTCTTAAAAAGATGTCTTAAAAAGTCCTAAAAAGATTTCTCAACATTCCTGGCACTTAACAATGAACTTGCTACAGAGTATAGTTTTTATTTATAAAGGACAAGGATGGTGTTTTAGTCACTATTTGGCAAGTGCTCTTGGCATCTCCTGCATACTTTTCTTTATTAACTTACAGATTGAAAGGATTCAGAACCCAGCTCTCTGGAAGAGGTACCAGGCAAACAAAAAAATTATGGATGAAAAGAATGGCCATCAAAGAAATGAGATGCAACTTTTCCACGGGACGGAGGCTAGCTCTGTGCCACACCTTAACAGCAACGGCTTTAACCGCAGCTATGCTGGGAAGAATGGTAAGGGCGCATGTAACCAGCTGCTCTAAACGGGGTGCTGCCTGGGAGAGTCCCCTCTGGGCAGCACGCCGGTTCACTGTGCTCCTCACGCCGTCGGTGGCCAGACTGGAGTCAGTTTTAACAGTAAACAGCAATAGATTTCATCCCGAGGGTTTGATTGTCTTCTCTTTGAGGAGGAAAATTTAACTTTTAAAAATGAGAAGAGGAGGAGGAATAGTAATAATAATAATTAATAATAATAAGCAGCAACAGCAGCCAAACAAAATACTTGAACGATTCACTCCTTTTATATTAGTTGACGTGTTAGGCTAACACGTTGACTCATACGAGACACTGAATTTCTTCAAAATGCTTTTCTCTTTGCAGCTGTGTGCTACGGGAAAGGAACCTATTTTGCTGTTGCTGCTTCCTACTCTGCCAGGCACACATACTCCAAACCGGATGCCCATGGGAAAAAGCATATGTATTATGTGCGGGTCCTCACTGGCAACTACACAAATGGAAACTCGACACTGATTGTGCCTCCTTCAAGGGACCCTCAAAATCCTACTGACTTGTATGACACTGTCACAGACAACGATAAAAATCCAAGTATATTTGTAGTGTTTTATGACAACCAGGCATACCCAGAGTACCTTATCACGTTTAGGCAGTAACACTTTGGGGCGCCCGCCCTCAGAGAGATAGTCGTGATCATGTGTCTGCTGTAAGGTAAATTTTGGCTGACTTCCTTCTTAAGCTTTCTCTAAGAAAAAAGCACAAGGTCTTTCTTTGCCGTGGACCTGCTTCCTCAGCTGCTCCTCCATAGTGGAAATTAATCTACTTGAGAGCCAATCAACTTGAGAATTGAGATCAGGTAACAGCCATAACCATATGTGCTCAAATGTGAATCTCCGATCTCTGAAAAAGAACAGGCTTTTATGTTCTGGGAGGACAGCAAGACCTTTACGGACTTTCAGGAAGCCACACAGTCTCAGCTGCCTCCAGTGGAGTCATGTTGGAGTGTCACGGTGCCGTGGGGGACCTACACCATCACTGAGCCAATCTTCCTTGCTGCCAACTGAACAGATTCCAAGATGGAGAACTTTCTTCACTGACAGCCCTGTGCCATGTGGGCAGACAGCTCCAGCCGGGGCTATGTACCAACTGGGAGCTGGGATGTGGCTTGTGGTCTGCGTGAACTGCGCCTCGAGGGACAGACCTGGCCTCAGTGGCCGGGGGCCCCTTTTAATGTTGACCCCAGTGGTCAGGCTACCTAGTGAAATCAATGAGAAGGTGTCTGCTACATCTCTGGTGGGATTCCTCCCACCGTGTGAAAATGAGTGAACTAAGGAGATGGGCTGTGTTTCCGGTGGCAGCCCGGCTTGTGATGACTTGAAAGCTTTTTGTATAAGCCAGTTAGTCAGGCTGCTAACTTGCTAACACTATCTACTGGATGGTAATTATTCTTGCGGTGCTGGAGATTACCCAGGGCCTCACAACGGGTCAGGTGAGCCCTCAACCCGTGAGCTATATCCGAAGCCATCTTACTTTGAGGCGGGGTCTAAGTTGCCCAGGCTGCCTTTGATAGCATTCTGTTAGGCTTTGAAAGCACTATCTTCCTGCTTTGGCTACCTATTGGGGGTCTGTGCCACCAGACTTGCCTTAAGTTGTTCTTCTAATTTTCTCCTGTTAAGTTTCAGACTCAGTGGCGTTTGTTGAGTGCCTGGGCCTTGCCAGGTAGATTAAGAGGCGTGCGCACATACATGGTTTTGGTCCCACAAATAGCTGAGCCCCTCATTATTCCCACCCCAGACCGTGGCCTTGAGATTAGTGAGTGCCGTTACAGGAGTTATTGCAGATGATCTGTGAGGCAAACCCCCAGATTGCCTTGCCTTTCTTCTTTCTGGAACTGGTGCCCACTCTACCCCTTTACTAGGCGTTCCCTAGGACAGGGAGCGAGTGCGCGCGAGTGCTGTGCAAGGTTTTCAGTTGGTATACTCTTGGGTTGTGTGTGTGTGGGGGAGGATTAAGGCACTGGTTCCCACTCTAGGAATCATCAGCAGGCTTCAAATGGAGAGAAGGGTCACTGTTGCTGCTCCATCGACACAGAGGCCTGGAAACTTCTGCTGCTGTTTCTAAGTGGGCTGGCAGAGACTGCGGCTTGAGACGGGTTTTCTCAGCACTGGCGGGCCGGGATTCGGCACTAACGATGGCCTAAAGAGACGGGATGAAAACCTGAGGCCTGTTTTCATTTGCTTTTTTTCTCCAGTGGTTTGGTTACCTCAGGGCAAGGATGACACATGCAAGAGTAAGGATCCCGTCAGCCAATGTCACAGTTATGTTCAGTCAAAGTAAATATGTCATTTTTCTTTTTGTCATTTTCTCCACGTCCTAGTAAAATGACTTGGAGAATGTCTCCTGGTAGAATCACTTCTCTCCTGAAGGGCAAGTGTAAGGGGAGCTCACTGACATACAGTGGCCACTGCTGATAACAAGCCACAAGCAAACAGGACAGCACTGAGAGATCCTTAGTACCGACGCTCAGTCGGACCACAGTCCAACGTCCTTGATCACTCGAGGGGCTTGCTGCAAGCCCTGTGTGCGAGTCACAGTGTGCGTACACTGAGCACATCGATTCCAACAGCGCTGACGGCCAGGGCCACGGCGGGACACTTGGGCCCAGGTGCTTCTGCCTATGTAGCCCCCTCAGTGCGTACATAGCCTTGACCCCTAAACTCAGGGGCTGGAGAGGTGGCTCAGCGGTTAGGAGCGCCTGGGCTGGGTTCTTGGCCCCCACATGGCCGTCCATGGCCACCTGCCCCTTCTGAACTCCGGATTGCACATTACATACAACCGCATTAAGCGTACATACACACACTCACATTAAAAAAAAAAAAAATCTCTTAAAAACCCAGACTATATATACTGCTATATCCTTGGATGTCATTAAGGCCTGATTAAATTATTTTCTGATTAAAAAAACAAAACAAAACAACTGGGCTGGAGAGATGGTTCAGTAGTTATAGGTGTTAAGAGCGCTGTCTGCTCTTCCAGAGGTCGTGAGTTCAATTCCCAGCAACCACATGGTGGCTCACAACCATATATACTGGGATCTGATGCCCTCTTAGGGCATGCAGGTGTACATGCAGGTAGAACATTCACATACATTAAATAAATAAATAAATCTTAAAAATTAAAAAACAAACAAAAAACCCCAAAACAAAAAAAATACAACTAAACTAGGTATGCTGGCGCGTGCCTTTAATCCCAGCAGGGCAGGCTGAGCTCTGTGAGTTCAAGGCCAGCCTGGTGTACAAAGCAAGCCCAAGTGGATTTGGGAGAGGCTGGAGGTGGGCAGTGTGGACTGAATATGATCAAATCATACTGTACACACACATGGAATCCTCAAAGATTAAGTAAAAAAAAAAAAAAAACGCTACATAAAAAGCAAACAAACACGCGTATCGCATTATTTCTAAAAATATATTTTAAAAAGTTACTAAAAAATAATCTATTAGGATCACAAGCTTTTTCCTTGTATCAAAAGCTGGGCCACCATCCTGGTTACTTGTGGATTCAGCAAACAGTCCAGCAAGTCATCCGTGGACACAAACATTCGAGAAGGCGCCACAGGACGCTTTGAGGCCACCTGCTCCGCCACTGCACTTGCCCTTTTACTGGTTTTCTGCCTCGTGGCACAGGGCAGTTCTGCCACGTGTTCTCCGTCTCTCTCGATACTGTCTCCTTCCAGTGTGCATCCTTTCCCTTCACATGCTGGTGTCACAGGGACCAGATTTGGGCTAAACAGACCCGCTGCCTCCTGTCTCCGGGTCCCCACCGCAGAGCTGTGCCTGTGTGCTTGTTCCACATTCATGGGCTCCTGAGCACTGGGTTCTTCCTTCCTTCTGCTCTCTCTGTTTGCTCTCAGTGCTTGCACGTCTACTTCCTTGGCTCTTTCACAATGATCAAAAAAAGCACAAACAGCACCATTTAGGTAGCAGCAATTGACTTCATGAGATGTTTCCTCCACCTAAGAGGAAGAAGCCGTCAGTATTGCGCTGAAGTGGAGACCAACCAACTCTACCTTAGGCTGATTAACCATCAAAACCAAGAGCTGGCAGGGAAATCTGAGCACCGCACCTCAGTGGGGTTCAGCCAGGCTGCAGGGTGACTCGGGTCCTCTGCATTCTTCAGTGCACACACAAGCATGCGGGTGATTGCCTCCTCCACCCGGGTGAGGTGGTCTTCTTCCTGAGATGAGGTAAGAAATTTAAAAATGAAATCGTATTTTCCTCTTTGTCTCTGCGCCTCATTGTTGTTTTAAATACAACATCGTAATCGTTTGATTTTACCAATAAAGACTGGGGAACCAGATGCAGGAGTGAAAACCTGCTAGCTCAGAGAGGCAGAGAAAGGGCTCAGCCGACCTTCCTACACAGCTGATGTCCCAGAAGGAAAAAGCCCCTTCTCCTTCTCCACATTGTCCTAAATACCCTTTAACTCAATGTCCCTTCTTTCTACTTCCTGTGTCTCTTTATCTGTACTCTGGACTTCCTCTCACTCTCTGTTTTTTCCCCATGTTCACTTCCTGTCAGTCTGGTTGCTTGCTCCTCCTCTTGACCTAGGGTTAACTTTATTTAATCCTGTTTACAGAAAGCTCTTGGATTAAAGGTGTGTGCCAGGGCTGAGCCACCAAGCACCTGTTTACAGAAAACAGAAAGCTCTAGGATCAAAGGCTGAGCCATACCACATTAGAGATACCCCCTCCCCCCCCCCCACACACACACAGAGTTTCTGTCCTGGACTCATTTTGTAGACCAGGCTGGCCTTGAACTCACAGTGATTTACCTGCCTCTGCCTCCTGAGTGCTGGGTCTAAAGGAGTACACAACAAAGCCCAGCTCAGAAACAGGTTTTTTACAGTTCACAATCTTGGGTTTCACAATGGGATCAAATATCCTGTAACACCTCATGATTTAAGAGTCTCTTTTAGCTGCATGCTCTGTCCCACATGAACGCCAACCTCCTCACAGAAGAAAGCACTCTGCTGTTGGGAGCGCCACTGTGCTCGTGTGCTTATCATCTGCCATCTATGGGGGTAGGACAAGACAGACATGCCCTTCCTGGGGATCAGACCCACCAGAGAACCTGTAGGCTGCTGTTTGACTGGTACCCAAGAACCTTTTGCTCAGGAAAGAGAAGAAGAATTGGGAATAAAATCAGTATCTCTCCTTGGTCATCACCATAATGAGCCTGACCTCTCTGTGGCCTTTGTGATCTTGAGAACCTCAGGCCACTTTCCTTCTAAAACCATGTTTCTATCTCTGCCTGGGGCAGCCATTATTTCCCCAGAAGAACTGACCCCAGAAAGCCTATAACCTGCACAGATGGGCACAAATGCAAGGTTACTGTTGTTACAATTATGATGGTTGTTCTTGGCAGCCGAGTTCATCCATGATTTATTTTCCTGGCTATAGGGTATATTCTGGAAACGCAGACACCAAGATTTTTAAATTACTCTAATAGGATCATTTGAATTTTACCTACTTTAAAATTTAATGTGGCAGCCTGGCATGGTGGCGCATACCTATAATCCCAACATTTGGGGAGACAGAGGCAGGTGGATCTCTGTGAGTTTCTACAAAGGAAGTCTACACAGAGAAACCCTGTTTAGAAAAACAAACAACCCCCCCCCAACCAAACATTTAATGTGGCAGGGTGTGATGGCTCATGCCTTTAATCCCAGCATTTGGGAGGAAGAAGCAGGCAGGGCTCTGTGAGTCTGAGGCTAGCCTGGTCTACATAGAGGTCCAGACCACTACTTTGTTTTCTAAGAGTTGCCATGCTCATGGACAGCACTCAATAGCTGTCTAGGCATACATCTGTGTGTTTGCCATTTCTTCATTCCCTCCACACCCTCACCAGGTCCAAGTCCCGTAAGCCGAGTATGATCATTCCCAGTGATGCCTAAAAGGCACTCAATGAAAGTCTACATTCCTTCTAGATTTCAAAAAACAAAACAAACACAATGAACAAAAAAACAAAACAAAACAAAAACAGAAAAAAACCCCAACAAAATCTACATTCCTTCTGGAATAAACACACACACAAACACACATGCAAAACAAACACTGACTAGAATTCTCTCTAAAGTCAAGAAAAAGACAAAGATGCTTATCACCTCCACTATTTATAGCTGAATCAGATGTACTAATACTAGCCAATGCCATTAAATAAAAGTCACAGAAAAACACATTGAAAAGAGGTGAACTTCATAATTTTTAGAGAAACTGAGGTAGCCTTAAAAACCTAATAAAGCCAGAAAATATTAAAGAAAAACAATATTAAATAAAAAAAAACAAAAAGAAAAAGAAAACAATTCAAACCAACAGCCATCATCCATATCAGCACTGTGCAGCCAAAAGATATGATGGACATAAGAGGAAGAGAGATCTTCCTGCAGCCATGGGAAAAATGAACCACTCAGGCACAGACTGTATGAGAAAAATCACAAAGTCAGAGAAAGGAGATTCTAAAATATGGCTAGAAGGAAGATGACTGAGCTTGGACGAGGAAGAAGGGTAATTTAGCATCTACAGTCCACGTAAAATGTTAATATGGACTGAATAAAAATATTAGTAGTTCTTTTTTACCTTCAAACTAGGTAAGTTGGTTTAAAAGACTATCGAAAAAAATAGAAGCAAGAACAGCAAGGGAAACACTTTAATAAAAATGCACAGAGAGGTCAGGCCTGCAGTCGACTCTTACCAACATGGCTGACTTGCTCAATAACGCATGAGTGGGCAGGAAACAGACCTGCATGTGACTCAGTGGACATGGCATTAGCCAAGGGAGAACAGACTTTCACACAAAGTCTCCCACAATCCTGTTGGGACTGTGAGAACTGTTGGGACTTGGGAAAATCCATCCTCAACCTCATACCACATACCTGCAAAAACTCCCCATGGATTTCAATGTGAACTAATACATACTAATCTAATAATTCCTTTATGACCCCCCCAAAGCGAAAAGTCTTTACAACTATTCTTAACAACCCAGTCCAGTAAAATTCAACAGCACATTTTGTTCACAAGGCTGTGGATGGAACGGGTGTTCTCACACACCACTGACAGAAGTACAAGACTGCGTCATCACAGCAGAGTGTGATGCTAGACCTCGGGGGTCAGGGTCTTCCCTAATGTCACACTCCAAGGAAGACAGAACGGCACACACACAGACCACCCTGACAGCATTTGTAATTATACCAGAAGCAATCAAACACCTACCCACAGGGAGTCCATGGAATGACACTGGAGCATCCCACAGTGGGATATAGTTGTTAAAGTGGAAAAAAAAGAAAAGAACTTTTGGTTTTATTATGTAGGCAAATTCAGGACACTATTGCTCAGTAACAAAGTATCAAAAATCAGTAAAATTAAAAACTGGAGACCTGGGCTACAGAGGTGGCCCAGTGGTTAAGAAGCACTGACTGTTCTTCCAGAGGACCAGGGTTCAAATCCCAACACCTATATGGCAGCTCACAACTCCAAGATCTGACAATCTTACATAGACTTATATGCAGGAAAAACACCAATGCGCATAAAATTTAAAAAACAAACAAACAAAACCAGGAGACCTAGAGTTCTTAATGATCGTCATCATTATTTTTTTGTTGCTGTTGTTTTTGGAGACAGGGTTTCTCTGTGTGGCCCTGGCTGTCCTGGAACTCTCTTTGTAGACCAGGCTGGCAGAACTGTCAGGCTGTAGGTTAAGGAGGGAGCACAGGTGTAATCAAAGGCCACTGTTAAAAATGGTGCAGACACAGCTGACGCATCCGCTTAAAGGGATAGATTTGTGATGGCTACTACACTGTCAACGGGGCTCCAGGATGAAGGTGTTATTGGGAAAAGGGTCCTGGCAGAAATGAATGATAAAATATAGTGCTGAATGATTCTACTTTGAGGCATTGCATTTGTCAGGCTTAGAAGTAAGGACCCTGTCCCAAGAAAGAGAGACATCTGAGGTGGTGTGGGATGGAGCCTGCAATGTTAGACACAGACTGCAGTCCCACCAGGCCTAACACGACTTTCCTGACTCCACTCAAGGGAGCCAACCATGTTCTCTCAAGGAGTATCCGGGCACAGAAGCACAAGCGTCATCCCAGCACTTGGGAGACCTACAAACTCCATCTCAAACACAAGACAACGCAAACAACTTAAGCAAAAGAAGAGAATGGCACATCTCCAATGTAAACATTTATCGAGAGAGGCCAGACCTCAGTACACAGAAACGATGTCATCCAGGACTGCTGGTCCCAGAGAACTAGTGCCTGGATTTTGTAGACAGGCTTTGCTTATCTTAGGCATTTTTTTTTAAAGGTTGAAAACAACAGAAAAAAAAAAAAAAAAAAAAAAAAAAAAGAGTACCAGCTCAATCCAGGAGTTTATACTGACGGTGACAGGATCAACAGACTCCACGTAATGCCACCAGTGTCTGGGAACAAACAGAACCTGGAAACCAAACAAAAACCAGTTAACATGAGAACAGGGCATTTCTTGCTCTGAGACTGCAGCCACTTTACCTACTGGAAACCTCCCTGAGTTACAATATAGGACGGTGGGTGCCAGGCAAGGCGTGAAGCAACCAGAGCCCTCAGACACTCCTGGGAGGAATGCAAGGTGGCCACTGTGGAGAACAATCTCCCAAAAGGTCAACACACCCACCCGGATCACCTGTCCTACCCTTAAACACTCCAGAACACACAGATGTCCAGAGCAGCGACAGCCATTCATGATGGCTCACGTGAGCGAAAGAGCTGTGCATCATTGCGGCACACCTGTGTAATCAAGAACCGCTCAGCCTTGAAAGCGTGTTCCGCGTCAGAAGTCAGGCATAAAAGGCCCTACACTGTGTGGCTGCGTGTACAAGGCCCAGAACAGGAAAATCTGTGGCTGCTGGAGGAGGCATGAAGGGAAGTGGCTGAGGCAGCCTGAGCAGGTTGATCTGTGTGAACTGTTAGGATGTGTATGAGACCATCCTAACAGGGAGAGAGCCAGCAAGGAGGACAGGATAAGGATGACAGAGGCACTCTGTAATGACCAAATGCTAAGAAGCCAGGGCGGCGAGTGCCAATGCCAAAAAAAATTTCCCCACAGGGTGGCAATGTTTTGGAAATACAGTCTCTTTAGAAGTGAATTAGAAGTCAGCCGTTCTTGCTGAGAAGCAAAGCTCACCCTCAGTGCACCTGCCTCTGAGGCCTGGATGCACCGCAGCCAGTGTTCATCCATCTGGGGCAACAGGTACTAACTGTTAATCAGTGTTCCAGCACCCACGCCCTGTCAGGATCCCGAAACCTGAGTAGTGATGATGGCTTCACCGGCTTTGTCTTCCTCCACGCCTATTCTCCCCTTCACCAGCAGGGGGAGCTGTGCTCCCTCTTTCCACGTCTCCCGGGCAGAGCTGCAGGTCTCAGGCTGCAGGGAGGAAACTATTCTCTGCACTGAGGGACACAGGCACGGGCTGCTGTCCACTGACAGGTCATCGATGTTGAAAGGCCCATTACCTGTCCCGGGCTCAGCGTGACCATATGTCTTCGGGCTTTCTGGAACTGAGGGAAGCGCTTTAAATCAGGGTTGACAACATTGATTTTACTGAACACACTAGACTCTTCGTAAGGAATTCTGGTTGGGTAAAGGAAAGGCATATCTTCAGGAGGAAAGAGATGCCATGTTTTCCTAATGAAAAAAGAACACACAAGTTAGAGCTCTCAACACGAGATAAAGCGTGTAAGAAGGTAGCAGCCAAAGGTTTGGTTTTATTAATTGAAATTCAGTTCATACAGGAACATACCTGCCATCACAGTGGTCACCCGGTCTCTCACTTCAGGCTGAATTCCCCTGCAGGTGTATGGAGGAAGGTAGCTCCCTACTGGTGGGTTCTCACACCCTCCTGGGGCAGGCCCTCCCGCTGGGATAGGATCTCATTTGTAAGGTGTGTGTGTGTGTGTGTGTGTGTGTGTGTGTGTGTGTGTGTGTGTTTTAAAGTTTGCTTATCACTGCTTTCACTCCTAATCCTGAAGCTAACCAGAATAATCTTAACCCTTTCTGCATTCCTTTTAAATACATTTTATTTTGTGTATATATGTGTGTGTGTGGCATGTTTGTTGTGTGTTGGTACATGTCATGCAGATAGATACATGTGCCTGTGGAGCCAGGAGGCCAACAATGGCATGTCTTCCTCATTACGCGTTGCCTTAACGCTTTTTTTTCCCCTGATGTTTTGAGACACAGTCTCATTCTGTAGCCTTATTCGCTATTCTGGATGGAGACCCTGTCCTCAAACTCATGAACCTCCAAGTGCTGAGATTAACAGATTGTGCCACCTTACATGTGGAGACAGGATCTCTCTGAACCCAGAGCTCAGACTGGCTAGGTTGTCTGGCAGTGAGCTCCTGGACTCGTCTGTCTCTGCCCCACTCTGCACTGGAGTCACAGCCCTGTGCCATGCCTAGCTTCCGACGGTGCTAGGTACTGAACTTGAGGCATACTGTCCGCACAGCAAGCACTCCACCCGCTCGGCCATCCCCCCAGCCCTGCAGATGTCTGCACTGTCAGAGCATCCCGAAAACCTCCCAATGCTCCCCCAGCAAACAGCTCCCAGACTTCTTCCTGTCTTGATCTCCTAAGGATGAGAAACACATAACTAATGCCACATAACCTGAAAGTAGTATAATTGAGGATCTTTTAAAAAGAGAAAACTGTTTTATAGAGTGGATTTTTCTTTTAGGATGGAGGTAATAAGTCTTATTTTACTAAACTCTTAAAAAAATCCATATTTTATAGCAACAGAAGGAAGAGTGCTGAGGCAAAGAAGGCAGGAGTATGAGCAGAGATGAAGAGATGAAGAGATGGTGAGGAGAGCTGATGGTGCCAGAGTAAAAGAGCCAAGCCCCAGTTTTGAGAAAAAGCCATTCGGCCCTCTTGAGTGTGACTCTGGCAGCCACAGACACCACTAGTCCTTTCTGCAGAGGGAAGCAGTTTTCAAACTTCCAAGCATAAACTGAAGGCTTCACACAAAGTGAAGTGCCTGGCTGTTTGGAAATTCTAGGGCAGCCTACGACTCACACAGCCACTGGGTAAGAACTGCTGACGTTCAGAGGCTCAGATGCGTGATAGCAGCCTCTCCAGGAATGGCTGCTCCACTTCACTGCACTCCCCGCCAGTTGGGAAGCCATTCTTGGTTACTTGGTCTGTATAGAAGCTAATTCTGGAAGGGCTCTGAAGAGCTCATCAACCGAACTTCATTTCCAAAGCAGTGAGAGAGAGGGAGAGGGAGAGACCATGTTTGCTAGGTGTCCTTTGGGCTCACGGGGAGGAGAGGGGCCACGCACAGAACCCAAAACACTTATCTCTTTGCTTCTCCAGATTGTAGCTCCATTCCCTGCACCACTGTAGCATTTCCCAAAGGACCAGCCATCACAGCCAAACTCGCCAACCTGCTTTGCTTGGCTTCACGTATTAAAATGTGTATGGCCTACTGGCAGAGGACCGTATCACCATGTGTCCTACCAGCAGAGAACTTAATCACCATGCCATCCCTCGCTCAAAAGCCTCCCCTGGTTCGGTACGTAGAAGGAATGGAGAATTGGGCTGTTTGGCTGGGAGTCAAGACCTTATGCTCCACCCTGCCTTCCCTGCCAAGTCCTACTGTTCCCTGTGCACCATTCACACAGGGTCCTCTGCACAGACCATGTCCTCTGGGACCCTGTGTCCCTTCCATCTGAGTGACGTAGGACACTTGTTCTGCTTCAGAGCCCACTGCACACAACAGCTCTTCTACAGAACCCCTAATCCTTCCTACAGAAGCACTGTCTCTCCCATTTCAGTTCCAATGCGCTGCAGCCTCCTTCCGGTGCACACACCTCCCTTCCCTGTGGACCTGTGGGCACCCTGGGCAGAAATGCTTGCAAGGCAGAGCCCTGACCATTTCTGTACCTATTCTAACACATGGAACTCAATGGACACTCAATCCATATTTACTAAAGCAATTTTATTACATTGGAGTGCCAGGAAAATGGAAAACATGCTGTTAAGACAGTTACAGTAAAGCTATATATATATATGTGTGTGTGTGTATATATTATATATTAGTATATAATTGATAATATATAATTTGATATATATTGTGTAATATATACTACATATCATTATACTATACTATATTATTATAATATATAATTTAATAATATATAATTTGATTAATATATATTATACATTTTAATATATATTAATCAAAGGGAAAAACCACTGGCTTGCTTCCCAATTCAGAGCACATGGAGAAGGCAACCTTAAAGCAATGCTCTATCTCATCACATTTTGGTCTCTAAACTCTTAACTCCAAAAGGGCAGGGAAAACTCATATCTGACTCCATGCCGGCTCCTCTGTATACAACAATGTATCCGAGAGGTTACCCTTTAGCCAGGACATGAATGCTCAACAGGGAACTGCTGTGTCCCTCCACACACATGCCGTTTCTCTTGGACCCACTCTTCAAACATTTTTGTGTTCAGTGATACTGAGAATTTGTCTGTGGCCATTTCTGGCTTTTTCATGAATTGCCCTGTAGACGTCTCAAAGGGCCAGAGGGAAGTCTGGGATACCACTTATTAGTGGGGAATAAGGCTGCACACAAGACGCCTGAGTGCACCGCCAGGCTGCCAGACTCCAGGTTATCAGGGGCTGTCCACCCAGGTCTGCCGCTCCGTCAGACTCCAGGTTATCAGGGGCTGTCCACCCAGGTCTGCCGCTCCCGTCAGGTGGAGAGAAAAGCTCATCTCAGCCGTACACATTGCGTCTACTGGCAGACATCAACTCCCAAACTGAAATTTAGTCAGAGGGGGCATAAAAACTATGTGGCCCAGGCTTCCTGGCACCCGTCAGCACCCAAGGGCCACAGTGAAGCATCTGTCTTTCAACAAACTTCTCTGTTCTTACTTATTTGAGAGGTGGAGGAAGGGAGTGAAAGGTGCACACTCCTATTCAAAAAGCTAAGCAGAGAGATGCCCAGCAGGATAGGGGCCTCTGAGAGAATCCTGATGATGGCCGAGGCACACAGAATTCACTTCTACTGTCCCCTCGCTTCACACAGAAGGAAACAGCATGGTGGGGAAGAGAAGAGCCTTGGCCATGAAGGCTGGTGGACAGGGCGGGGATGGAGCTACTATCTGACCCCACCTTCTGTTTCCTTTTCTTGGTAGCTCTTGTGTGCACCCACATGTGCGTGTACACACACACACACACACACACTTACCTTCCTTGTACCTGGAATACTAAGTTGCAGCCATAGGAGTCCAGATGGCAGGGAGTATGGGCTCCCAGGGAACCGATCCACAGTGTACTTTCCTGGCCATTTCTTCCAGGAAATCCAAAGTCAGACCACATCACCTCCTGTTTGAAAGAAAAGTCTGGCTCATCAGGAACTGACAGTCTACTGAGGTGCACGTGCTCACTTGTACAACTGTTTTTAGCACTTACATTTTCTTACGGAAAATGCTAAGAGGTGGAAAGGGTTAGATTTTCAGGGTAATATGAAAAAAAAAATTTCAACCAGTAATATCTAAATAAGCTCAGTGGAAGCAGTCAGTCAACAAATGTTTACTATTTAAAACATGCCAGGAATTCTTCTGGAAGCTTAGGACAAATTGATGGATAAACTAGGCCCACCGGGGGTGACTGTTCTAGCTGTCAGAGACAGACAATAAGCGGCAGACATAATTCTGCAGCTGCCTGGGGTAAAAGTACTTCAGGCAGCAAGAATACCATGGAAGCTCAACCCAGGAAGCCACAGGCCTTTAAGCAGAGAGTATTTGTGGGCATAAGCACTTTATTACCCTTTTGCACTTCGATGATCACATAAAAGAAGCCTTCTGGGTGAGCCCAGCCATTTCAAGCTGTGACACTAAGGTCATAGCTCACCTACGAACCCAGTCTCAAGCAGCTGTGTCACAGAATGGCTTCCGGAAGGGTGATTCATAGGTGATTGATTCTGCTGCCTGCCCCAAGCCTTGAATTCATAAGTGTAATAAAGAAAACATAATGCTCCAGACCAGTGCTCTCCTAGGCGAGGTTCTGAGGCAGGTTTTGGCCATACTCATAAGCTAGAAAAGAAAAAGAGCTAGCAACCTAAGCACGCCAATGTTCTCCAATTTTTTAATCAATTTTTCCTTTGATTTTTTTTTTTTTAAGAATGAAACAAAAATACTTTCCTGTGCAGTGTACTGACATAAATGCCAACACCTCAGAAATTCCTCACCATCTGCAATCTACATTTTCCTACCTTTGAGGGGAACTATCAACAGCTCAAAGAGAGAAGATTTAAAAAACACATTCAAGGGATGATTTTGAGGAAGACTAGAAAAGACATTTTATTTGAAGTGATGAAACAGTAGGTTAGTCAGGGATGACCAACAGACTCCCAAAACACTATAAGCTATTGCAACTGCTCTTGGTTGTTCCTCACAGAGGCAGAAGTTAAATCCTAATCCTGAAGACACTATGCACTTTGGACCCAGAACCCAGAGGACCTGAGCTGGATCTGGCCTGAAAGCCTCCTCCATGAGGGCTAGCTTTCATGGTGCCAACTGGTGCCACACAAGCTTCCAAAGGAGGAAAGCAACTAACAGCCTTTACCTAACTAAGACGCTTTGGGCCACAACAACCAGCATGGCGCAATAACCCCCAGGGGGCAGTAGTGGCACACACATCTTAGCAGTAACCAACAACAGCTATCTAATAGACTCTAAGTCCCGCGCTACAGGGGGGGAATCATGCTTGGTATTAGAAACCTAGTCAAGGGGCTGGAGAAATGGCTCAGTGGTTAAGAGCACTGACTATTCTTCCAAAGGACCTGGGTTCAATTCCCAGCACCCACATGGCAGCTTACAACTGTCTCCATTTCCAAGGGACTGACACCTTCATGCTGATGCACATAAAATAAAATTAAATAAAGAATTAAAAAAAAGAAAGAAAAAAGAAACCTAGTCAACCACTGGGAGCTAGTGAAGGCAGAAATCTTGGAGGAGAATCTACAACTAACACTTTACTAAACCAGCATTAATTCCCGAGCACACTCCAAATTTTTGTCCTTATACCCACAAAATAAGTATAGTTCTGACTCCTCTTGGAGTTGTAGAGCCCGGTCCCAACTGATATATGTACAATACAACTTATGCACCAAAGGCTAGGGATCACTGCAGAAGCGAAAGGTGGAAAAACTGCAAGAGCTACAGGAACAAGAAGTTTGCTATGAGGTTATGTCTCCTAAATTGTCAGTGAAGCTACACCCATGAAGTCTAACTAACATGGTTGCCTAAACAAGAGCTGAACAAAGATGGCATCAAAGGACATGCTAATACAGAAGATGGAAAGCTAATGAGACCTCAATTCTAAATAGAGAACTGTGAGCTACCAAGGAAAGCTGAGAGGGAGAGAGGAGGAGTTTTCCTCAGGGAAATGCACATGTGATTGTCCAATATCAAACGGTCAGCCCTGAAAACATACATACACGTAACATCATACAGACTGAGCAGGTTGTATTTGTTGTTGTTTGAGACCGGGTTTCTCTGTGAAGGCCTGGCTATCCTGAACTCAGAGATCTACCTGCCTCCACCTCCTGAGTACTAGGATTAAAGGAGTGTACTACCACTGCTCAGCTAGAGCAGGTTATATTTATACATTTAGAAACACAATTAAAGAAAAAGACCTATGAATTTGATAAGAGAAAGGAAAGGTACATGGGCAGAGTTGGTTGGAGGAAAGGGAAGGGGGAAATGATGTAATTATACTATAATATAAATTATTTAAAAAATGGAATAAGCTTTTTAGGAAAAACTTAAGTAGAATGCTTTCCGATGTTTAGGTGGTAGATTTTGAAAGGATGGAAAGTCAATTATGGCTTTAAAGCTTGCCTTGAATTCATAAGATAAGGATCTTGGGAAACATTCAAATTTAAAGATAGTAGAAGCAATAAAATAATAATTAAAATAATATAAAACACTAAGAAGTATTTGAAATGGTTGCGCCCCCCCCATCTAGTTTTCTTTCCAACTTAATTCCATTAAGATAAAATTTAAGTATGACAAAATGCCCCATTGTGGAGAACAGTGCTACATGTCTGACACATGGAGACACCAGCTAACTAGCCACAACAGAAACCAGCAAGACTTCCATTACTCCCCAAAGTTGCCTCTCTCTCCTGGGTAGGCAATCCTCCTGCCTTTACCTTCAGGCCAAAGTCATGGTATTTGGCAACTGGATTCTTTCAGATACATATACCAACAGTGAGAATCTACACTGAAAATTTCTTCATTGATTTTTAAAAATTTGTTCATTTATTTATGGTTTGTGTCTCATGGCACATGTGTGAAGGACAAAGGGCAATTTGTGGGAGTCAGTTCTCTCCCTCCACCATGTGGATTCTGGGGATCAAACTCAGGTGGCCAGACTTGACAGCAGGCGCCCTTACTTTCTGTGATCTCTCTGGGCTCATCTTTCTTACTTAAAAGTGTCCCTACCCCGTGTGACTACTGAGCCTTAGGGGTGGTGGTATAAATGCCCTGTTTAGGACTGCCAACCTACCCTTAGCTCCCAAACCGTGAGGGTGCTAGGGAGAGGAGGGCCTTATTTTCACCATGTACCTGCTAAAAAGCCCACCAGGTTCCAATGGATAGTTGTAACCCATGCTCACACCGATGATCCAGGTTAAACCCAGTGGGCTTCAGAAAACAAAACTCTCCCCTCCCCCCCAAAAAAACCCCATGAATGTGGGAAGGAACTTAAGGGGGCTTAACAAGGGTATGAAGTAGAGAGGTTTGGGAAGTGTGTGTGTGTGAAATTGTAACACTTTTTGTTTTAAAAACGGTTCCCCCTTGGACACAAAGACAGGCAGATCTCTTTAAGTTCAAGGCCAGCATAGTCTACATAGTGCATTTCAGGGCAGATATAGAGAGAGCCTTTCTCAAAGAACAACAACAAAAGCAAACAACAACAAACAAACAAAAAGGTCCCTTAACAATTAAACGAGACTTTAAACTCTACAGTAAAAATAAAAAAGTATGTCTCAATATTCTTGATAGTGTGCTGCATTCCTAAACTAATTATTACCAACATTTAAGTGACAAATAATGAATTAGAAAGTGTACTGAATTCTGGTAGAAGACATTATACTTTTTGATCCCGAGTCTTGGTTTCTGGATAGACTTCAAAGTTCTGTCTTTTTAGAGTTTCTACTGCTGTGATAAAACATCATGACCCAAAAAAGCAACTTGGGGAGGAAAGGATTTGTTTCACCTTACACTGCCAGGCCACAGTCCACCACTTCCACAGGAAGTCAGGGCAGGAGCTGAAGCAGAGGCCATAGAGGAATGCTTCTTACTGGCTTGCTCCTCAGAGCTTGCTTGCTGAGCCTGCTTTTGTACATCTGAGGATCACCAGCCCAGGCGTGGCGCCACCCACAATTGGCTGGCTGGGTCCTCCCACACTGATTGTTAATCAAGAAGATGCCCCAGGCTTATGGAGACATTTTCTCAACTGAGGGTCCCTTCTCTCAGATGAACCTGGCTTGTGCCAAGTTGACATATAAAATAGTCAGGACAAGTGCCATGCCAGCTCAGTCTCTTCATTAAGGTGACTTCTCCAATACCTACGGTGGTGAACACAGCACTCTGAAAAAGAACTGGGTTACTCACAGTAGCTCCTGGATCTACTTTTTACCCAAGACCTAAAGAGCTTTTCTTTCTTTCCTTTCTGTTTTTTAATACGGGATTTCTCTGTGTAGCCTTGGCTGTCCTGGAACTCAGATCTGCCTATTGCCAGTCTCTGCTGGGATTAAAGGTATGCACCACATGCAAGGCTCCTTAAATCTGTCCCAGTGAATGAGTTCAATAACCATTGAGAAACAAACTCCATTTTGAAAGTACTGTACACATAATAAAATCATCCATATTTTTACAGTTTTAACAAAAGCAAAAAATAAAAAAAAAAAAAAAGGAAGAAAAAGAAAGTGGTAGGAAGCTTCTAAGGCAGGATGATGGCTTCTGTTAGCCTATCACAAAAATCAATGACAACAAAAATCATTTAAAACTCCATGATTAAGGTACTTAATGCCATATGGTATTACTTGAGAAAACACTTAAAGAAACGTTTCCACGTGCCCCTTGTTACCCAGCCCTGGTCTTGCAGGCAAGAATCTACAGCCCAGAGCTGACAGAGGCTTCTGTTAACAGCGCCTACCACTAGACTCTGAATGCCTCGGTTCGGGAATGTTCCTTCTGTCACCTTTAGTGTCAATGTCTCTAGTTATTTTCCATTCACAGATCATAATACAGGAAAGCCAATCATACATAATTCCACAACAAACATTTCTGAAGAAAGAAATTAATACTGGTTAA